ACCACCCAGGCACCCCTCCAGTCCTCATTTCTTAAATTGCTGTATTAAGATATAATTTACACACCATAAAGTTACCCATTTAAAAGTGCATGATTCAATGGTCTTTAGTATATCTGCAGACAAGCACACCCACCAAGATAATCTAAGTTTAGAACCTTCCTACCATCCCCCCAAAACCCTATGCCCAGACCACTCAGCATCTACTCCCGATTCTCTCCCCCTCACCCCAGCTCCGGGCAACCACCAATCTGCTTGCTGTACTATCGAGTTGCCTGTTCTGGACACTGTATATGAACAGAGAATCATGTAATATAGGATCTCTGTGTCTGGCTTCTTTCACTAACTAGCCTAATGTTTTCAAGGTTCAGCCATGATGCAGCAGATGTCAGTACTTTATTTTTACTGGCAAATAATGTTCCAGTGTATGGAGAGTCCTTAAAACCTCTCCATCCCCAGCAAGCTGAAAGCCCTGGTTTACATTCCCACTTCTCCTTGTTGCTTTAGGACAAGCCCTGTAGCCCCCTGAACTTTGGCATTTTTACTTGCAAAACCATCTGATCCTTAGCTGACCTCCAGATAGATCCGGGAAACCACGAAGCTGGTTTTTTGAGCACCTCACACCTTGGAAGCTGTTTGGAGCCATCCCACTGCCCTGTGTTCCACACCATAAAACGCAGCTCTGGCGCTCTTCTGACCTTGAGAGGCAGGAGGCCATATAGGGGGATGTCTGCTCTGCGCTATGTAAATCCGGAGGCAGACATGCAGATTTACAGAGCTGCACTTAAGCTCTTAAGCGGAAACCTTTATCCACCAATCAGTAACACAGAAAAGTAGGAATCAAATGTCAAAATTTCAAAATTAGATAAAGGGGCAGTTAGGTCTAGAGTTAGGTTTAATTTCTCTTGACTGTATAACTACTTTTCTAAATATCCCATCAGTACCTGCTCCATGGGCTGCCACAAAGATGCAATCACCCGTGCTTGATGCATAGAAAGCACTCCACAACAAAGGCCACCGTCATTATTTCAACTCAAAATTCAGGGACATTACATGCAAGTATGCTTACCTGGTCATTATGTTTAAGATCATTTTCAAGGCGAATCCAAAGATCTGGAGTGTGAAGAGGCCTTGCAGGTGCCTGATCCTGACCTCCTATCTGGGCAGGAATCTCTTCTTGAGCACCCTTGAGTGCTGACAGGGCAGGGATGCACACGACTAAGACCTTGTCTTCTAGGACATCTTTCCTTGTTACACAGAAACCTGAAAATACTCTCTGTAACTTGTGCCCACATGTCTGAGCTCTGGCCTCTGCAGTAACACAGGCAAGGCCAGAGTCTCACAATCCTCATAATACTGAAGATGCTGTCAGAGTACCATTCACCCTAAAGCCTCTCTTTCCAGGACTGTGCATGTGATTTGTAACAGGAAACATATTTGGCTTTCATTCCTGCTCCTGGCTCACAGCTCCCCAAACCCTTGGGATTTCCTAAGCATTAAGAGTAATGGGAGCATCTTTTGTTTTAATACTTGGGTCTTTTGTCCCAGGTTCCGCTCAACCACAGCTCATTCAACCACATCTGAATTTACGTTAATGAGGTGATTTATGGAGAGCCCCTAGGTGACCAAAGGGTGGGGGACAGTTGCCAAGGGGAACCGACTGTGTAATCAGAAGGTTGGAACTTTTAGGGGCGCCTGGGTGGCTCAGTCAGTTGAGTGTCCGACTCTTGGTTTCACCTCAGGTCACGATCTCTTGGGTTGTGAGATCAAGTCCCGAGTCAGGCTCCACGCTCAGTGGGGAGTCTGCTTGAAGATTCTCTCCCTCTGCCTCCCCCCACCACCTCTGCACTCTCTCTCTAAAATAAATAAATAAATCTTTAAAAAAAAAAAAAAAGCAGGTTGGAACTCTCAGCCTCCCCTAACCCTGACCTCTGGGAGGGGAGAGGGGCTGGAGATTGACCTAATCACCAACAGTCAATGACTTAATCAAGCCCACATAATAAAGCCTCTATAAAAATCCCAAGTAGGGGTTTTGAGAGCTTCTGGTTTTTGTTCTAAGATTTTATTTTTAAGTAATCTCTACACGCAATGTGGGGCTGGAATTTACAACCCCGAGATTAAGAGTCACATGCTCTACCAGCAGGGCAGGGCCAGCCAGGTGCCCTGATTCTGGTTTAGTTAACACATGGAGGTGCTAGGAGGATGGCACGCCCAGAGAGGACATGGAAACTCCACACTCCTTCTTCCATGTCCTGTCCTATGTGTCTCTTCCATCTAACTGTTCATTTGTATCCTCTGTAATAAATCAACAATAGTAAGTAAATTTTTCTTCTGAATTCTGTGAGCCTCTTCAGCAATTATCAGATCTGAGAAGGGGGTCATGGAAACCACTGACGTAGAGCCAGCTGGTCAGAAGCACAGGTGATAAGCTGGATTTGTGCCTGGTGCCTGAAGTGGGGGTGGGGGCACATGTGTGGTCTGCACTAACTGCAGGTAGACAGTGTCAGGCCACCCAATTGGTGTCACAGCATTGCTGGACCTGGGGTAGACCCTCTCTAGTGTCAGAGGGAGGTAACGAGCGCAGAGGGCTGAGTGGGTAGCAGGGGAGGAGGAGGTTTTTCCTCCGTAAGCATGACCTGACTGCCCCCGCTTCAATCATTCCTCACATCTCGTGCTCCCCAAATAAGTCATGAAAACAGCTTTACTACGCTGCACGTGCCATGTGGCTTCCCTGGGAGACTTCCCGACACTATGATTCTGCACACTTCTGGAAGAGCCCTTCCGAAACTGCCTCAGTGCTTTAGAGCCAGCCTTGATTTTATCCAAAAATGGTATTATCCCAGTTTGAATAGCATATTTGCCTTCCAGTGACTGTGAAATGGTTCTAAAAATCAAATCCATCTTGAAACAATAATTTGCTGTGCCTGAGGATATTCATAAGCATGTACTGGGAATTCTTAAAGTAATTAAAAAAAAAACCCAACAACATTGTTTTGTTAACTTTTAGAACTATCTCAGTGGAGAAGCCTTTCTAATTATGATCATGATAAAGTTGTATAAAAATGTAAATTAAATACATAAAAATAGTAAAATTGTGCATTGAAGAAAACACCATAAAGTCAAAAAGTAATAATAAAATGGGGAAAAATTTGCAACACTTTCTATCACAATGGCTAATTTCCTTAAGTATAAAAAACTCCTAAAATCAGGAAGAGAATGACCACAGTCTCTCAGAAAAATTGGTATGGGACATGGACAGACGTTTCATTGAAAAGGAAATGCTCTTGGACATACATACAAGATGAATTAGATCGGTGCACAGTAAAATTACCAGTTATTTTTTTACCTGCCAGTGAGGCAGAGCAAACAGGGTGGTCTGTAGCTTTGTTGGTAAGGAGGGCTCAGGGAAGCTGGCATGGGAAGCTGCCTGTGGAGTTGAAGGGAAAACTGAAAACATGGTCACAATTTAAAACGCTCCAGCCCTTGGATCTGGCAACATCAGGAGGGCTCATGCACAGGGATGTGGGACTGGAAACCACCTGATGCCATGGGGGTCCTGTCATCCAGATGCGGGACTGCCACCAGCCACTGCAAGACAGAGGCAGCTCAGTGCGCGCTGAAAGAGTAGCCGTTCTGAGAACAGGAAGGTGCAGGACATGTGGGCAGGAGGCAGTGTGTGTGGTGTGCCAGGAAGATCTGAGCACATAGATGCACATGTCTTCGCCAGTACCGTATCCCTAGTTTGCATCTTTTACATGTTCGGATGTGCATATGTAGCTACTTTTTTAAAAAACAAGAGCCTAATTTATAATCACAAAAGACAGAGCAAAATGACTTGCATACTTTGCTGGGCCTAAAAATATTCCATGACTTATTTGGTGATCTTTTGGGAAACTTCCAGTTGTTTCCATTTTTTCAGATGTGAGATCACTAACCTATAAATGGACCAAATCAATTTTCACTTTTACCTTCATACATATTTGATTCCTGGACTCTGGAATTCTTTAAATATTTAAAACTGTTAGATACTATGGAAGGAAAAGGCTGAGGAGACCCAGGCAGGGGTGATGAGCTGCTGGATTTTCCTGCCTTTGTCAAGCAAAGGTTTCCTAGCTGCAGCCCAAAGGTGGTTTTTTATTTAGGGGAAGCAGCTCTCCTGCTTTGTCTTTTTCTGCTCATCTCACATGTACATCTCCAGACCTCTGCCCCAGGGTTTAAGTTTTGGGGAAACCACTGGGCGGAGGGTGGTTAGTCTCATCTTGTCAGTGGTTTTTGCCCAGGGTGGGGGGGTGTTTCCCTCCAGCCTTCTGGAATTGGGGCAGTGATGATCAGACCACCGGATTAGGACCCTCCGAAAAGGGGAGAAATGCTCCCCTGTCATGTCCTGTGGGCATAGCACTTCTCCAACATCAAAGGAGGTTTTACGCTTGGACCCCTCCCTGCCTCCACCTGTGGGGATGAAGGGCTCTTGGAGGTGAGGAGTGAAACCAACCTCCTGCAGTATTCTGCAGAGCCCTTTTCCCCCAACAAGCCTCCACTCGTGGGCTCATTTGGCAGTCATGTCCATCGTGGTCCTGCTGTGGCCCTGGGCGATCAAGAGGCCAGGTCCTGTGCTCCTGCCCAGTCTTTCTCTGGTGTGCGACCCCTTTCCAGCTGTTTCAGATTAAAGCCAGGTCCTCACCGAACACACCATGCTGCAGATGCTGTGGGTCAGTCCCAGGGAGGATGGGAGCTCCACTGGGAAGGTGAGCAGCTCCCCTGGAACAGCCTGGGCCTCCACAGAGCCTGCCACCACGGGGACATAGGAGGGCCTGAGGGTGGCCACCATGTGTCCTTCTGTGGTTGTCTCCTCAAAAGGCGCACTGAGAAGACCTAATGTGCCACCTGTCACCCAGCCTGGGCAGTTCTTTGTTCCCACTATAGTGAACAGGGACCTCAGGGGCTTTCCCCCCAGTGCTGAGGTGGATGAACATTGCTGACACTCATTGAGAGGAGTCACCAGACCAGAAAACCTTATAAACTCTTTATTTTGAGTGGAACACATGATGTTTAGCTTATTCCATGTACCATACATTTACTGCAGGAACGACTGTGACCCTGAGGCCCAGGTCTCACAGAGCTCACACCCCAATGTAGGAGTGTGGGCCAGTGTCCAGTGGAGCTCCCAGGGTATGGGCAATGGCCCTGCACCCCAGCAAAGCCAGAAGGCGGTCCCAGGGACTGCAGCCTGCCTGACCCACAGTGAGGTGGTGTGCGTCTTCAATACTGCTCAGTTGCAAATGGCTCATGGTAGCGATACATCCACTGGGGCTCAGAACACAGTTGCTACACGAACACTCAGCAACACACGACGGAGACGTCACACACAGCACAGCCATAAATATTGTAAGCAGTTCACGCTCACATTTGGACCTCCTCTGTAGGGCTGGGGCACACGAGAGGTATTTCCCCCAGCCCCTCTTCCTATTCACAGGGCCAACTCTGACAGTTAGCTCCAAGCCGTCCAAGAACCTGAAAAAACCGACCTCTGGATGACCTCACACACCCACATCCAAGGAGGAGGCAAACACATTCAAGTCTGCCAGACCCCCTGTCCCAGAGGGCATGGTGGTTGCCACTTGGCCCACCCTGAGAGTAGCCAGGACAGCCTGTACAACCTCCCCACTGAGTCTCTGGGGAGAAGGTGAAGGTCTGCCCTGGGGATGGGAGGAGACCAGACAGGGGCAGGGAGATAAAACAAGACTCCTATCACAGAAACACGTTATAACCACTCCAACCCTGCAGACAGGGACAGGTGGGGGATGGCATGGCTGCATCACCCTGGCCTTGGCATGTGGCCTTTGCCTGTCTGGTTCACTGTCCACCTGGAGCCAAGGCAGAAGGCGCTGGGCCTGGGTCACATTGCAGCCCTCTGCCTGTCCAGAGGCAGGTCTGCAAGGCCAAGGGGAGAGGGGTGGCAGCCTGAGCAGTGGCTTCCTCCCAACATGTCAAGGGGTTTCACAAAGGTCTATTCTCACGAAGGTCTGTTCTCACGGAGGTGGAGCCGCTTCTGTGAGGATGGCTGGGAGCAGCTTGGCCGCTACAAGGCTGGACTCTTCTGTCTGCTCAGGGAGTCAATGTAATGAAAGACGGCCCCCAGAGCCCAGCTGGTCTCAACATTGTTGATTTTCCGAGTCAGCTTGAAACACAAAGGGAGGGGCAGAGTGGGCATGGTTGGGAGACTGGAAGCAGTGCCCCCAGCCCTTCAGGCCATAAAGGGCACAAGGGGCACCCTAGAGACAGTCCGTACCTTCAGCACTTTGTTCTCTGGGAAACCAAACTCTTGGAGCAGCAGGCTGATGTAGGTGAGGTCCATGCACAGAAAGGGGTTGCCCTGCGGCCGGGTCTCCGCCGTCCGGCACACTGGGGTGAGAGAGCCCTTTCCCAATCAGATTCCAGGTAGTTCACTCCCAGGCGGGGGGAGGGGGGGTTGGGGGGGGGCTTGGGCAGACTGGCTCTGCCCACTCCAGGTGCCCACCCTATATTAGGCTCTGTGCTGGCCCCAGGTCCTCATTGGTTCTCACTGGTTTAGACAAGACTACAGCCTAGAGCAGGAAGGTGATTCACCAAGAGCACACCAAAAGGTAGAGTCTCAAGGCCAACCAGCCTCCACTGCGCCTGGCCTCCAAGACCAAGAAGGACGAGCCGAAGACCACAGTCTCACAGGGCAGAGCTCTGCACCCATGACTCTGGACACCTCTCCCAGGTGTGAATCTGGGCTTTCTGGGGAATGTAAATACCGACAAAGCTGTCTCAGAACATTCTACTATTCTTGAGGCAGATGAACAAACACACCAACAGTCTTCCCAAAATTCTGTTCAGAACCCTTTCCTGTTGAAGAGTCGTGGACACCAGGTATCCATGGGATAAACCCATAAGTGACAAGAAAGCTTAAAAAAAAATCCACTTGGGGGGAGGGAGGGGGAAAGGACTTTCTATAGAGAAACATATGAAGTTTAACTCTTTTGATCTGTAATTGGGAATAGCAACCGAAGAGCAGAATATTTACAGCCAGCCTTCATTTCATTCCCCATCAGGCTGGATTGTGATGGACAAAGGAGAGGAAGAGGGTCAGCCACCTGCAAATTCAAGGGGAAGAGCTCCTCACCCCCCACACGCTGGGTCTGCTGTGACCATTGTGAATTTGCTGGGACACTTTCAGGGGAAATCCCTGTAACGATCACCTGAGCTACAGTGAAGAAGTGTCAGAAGATGTGAAATCCAGAGAGCCCATTCCTAATACCCTAGGACTAGAAATATGCACTTTCAGAGTTGGGGACACTGAGGCTCCCCTCCCCCTCCCCCTGCTGCGGTCACACAGGACATGGTGGACCTGTGGCCTGGGCCCAGCAGTGACCCCGAGTACCCTCCCCTACCTCTGAACACTTGTCTGGCTGGCTGAATCAGGAACCAAACCTGGAAGCTCCCAGTACTGCCTCACAAGTACTAAGCTGCATCTACCACACGGTGGGGCAGGGTCCCTGCCTCCCACCCTGGCCCTTCTCACCCGGAAGGTCAACCACTACTCACCATACTTGGCCGCGATATCAAAGTCTCCGACGACAAGGCTGCCTCCCTTTTCCACATCTGTGGGACAAGACCAAGCACCTGGTCTGCACCAGCATCCCTGGAGCAGCGATGCCACCAAGGCCCTGAAGCTGGCACCCGTGAGGATGACATGGGGCAGTGTGTCCAGCCTGGCTGCAAGCCTGGGTGTAAGCAGGGCAGCGGCCCCACATGCACTGGTCATGTGTCTGAGGTGATGTGGCGGGGGGTGGGCAAGTGTTCCATGCAGGACCACATGGGGATGATTAGCAGTTATGGGTCTTCGAGGGTCCCTCACAGGAAGGTCACCAGGAGCCCTGGACCCCACAGACTGAGGAATCTCTTCATTTTAAGTTAAAAAAACAAAAGCAAAGAACCGGACATGTTTCCTCGAGCTATGGCCCTGAGTCCAGCAATGGTATTCTGGTATAAATTTTCTGAATGTGGAAAAAAAAAATTCTTTAAAAAACACCAAGAAGTGGTTTGTCAGGTCTCAGATCAAATGGGCAGAGCCCTTAAGGGCTCCCCAGAAGAGAGCAGAACAGAGTGGCCCTAGGCCTCTGTGACATTCCCAGGGAAGGAGGCATGAAAGCTGTGTTCCCCAACTCTCAAGAATGGCAACTGTTTCTTCAATGCACCCCAAAACCTCTACATTTGATAGAGCTGTCCCACACATTTATGTTTCATTATGAGGCAGCTGCTCAATGAACTGACTTTTCCTCGACTTTGGGCATTTGCTGAGTCAGCAAATGTCATCGTTGAAGATGGATTCCATTTCTGAAAACAGACCCAAGAGCTCTTTCAGAGCCATGTGTAACCACAAAAGGGAGTTGGAAGAGCTTTCTGAACAGCCCAGCATCTCCTGAGGTCACTCTGGGACGATGTCGGTTAAAGCCAGGGTGAGGGGCCCCAAATTGACAAGGTGATACTGGGGGGGGTCCCTTTGAGCTAGCCTGAAAGAGTGGAGCCCCCAGCACACTGCCAGGCCGGGTTTGCGTGTAGTAGACCCTGAGCACTGTGATGTCCATAGCTGGTAGTACAGATCAACAAACCCTTGTTCCAGCTATGGGAAGCCCGCAGGGGCCCTCAGGCCTAGCAGGCCAAGTAACTATGGGGCCAGCTACTGGGACGTACCTCAGGGACCTTGCTCTGTGCCAAAGACACCTGGGCCCAAGCAAGGGGTGAAGAGGTCACCTTCCATCTGGACTACCCACCCCTGGCTGGATGTGTTGCACACTGGGCCCAGGCAGCAGGTGGCTCAGTGAGCCTTGAGATACCATAGTGCTCATAAGCTCCTGAGGGTGGTCTGTGGAGTGCGCTGACCCCATCCCATGCCAGCCTGGGTGCCATATGGGGAAAGATGGCCACATGACCATGTCACAAAGGCTCCCTCAGCCAGAGACCTGGGGCCAGACAGGAACGACTAAGGGTCAGTTACACAGGTGAGTCAGTTCTGCCTTAGAGCAGAACAACTTGACAGCAAGTAATTGTTTCTGCACTGACAATGTAACTTTACTAAGCGGCTCAAAGACCTGATTTATTTATAAAAAGGAGGCTTACTACTTCCTATATAGATGACAAGCACCTGCCCTCCTACTTCTGTTACTCTGAGAGTGACCGACAACATGATTACTCTCTGCTGTGGGCCCTCTGCCCAGAGAATCTACACCTCAGCCCCACCCTTACCTATGAGGCCAACATTTGCTGCAAGGTCGTAATAGTAGGAAAAAGCATAAAAATCCACATCCTTCACTTCTTCCGTTCTGTGCACTTTGTTTCGAAGGATTTCCGATACTCTGCTGGCACACAGCTCATGGAGGTTCACTGCTGGGGCAAAAGAAAAGCACAAACACAATGGTTAGGGGACTCAGCACCTGGGCCACACAGCCCCTGGGGCCCTTCCCAGTGACTTGAGACCTTGACCTGGAAGGTGAGGCAGGACAAGAAACCTGCACAGCACTTACCCGAGTCTGGGTGCTCATCAACACCACACATGCCAACAGCAACTTTTCAGGAGCCATGGCACTGCGGGCCCAGGTCAAGGGAGAGAAACCCAAAGTGTGAAGGTGGCTAGAGATGGCATGGCCCTCAACCCTGGATGACAACAGCCTTTAGCTGATGTAGCCCAGTGGGTTCAGGTTCACACTGTTTACCCTCTGCCGGCCCTTGTGGAGCTCAAAACATGCAGGGCCTTACTCTGTCCCATCAGCCACTTTGGAGGTGGGGCCTGCAACCTCCTTACGTCACAGATGAGGAAACAGAGGCCTAACAGACAGCTTGTCAAGCTCACACAGCTAAGATCATTAAACCCTTGCTTGGAAGAATGACAAAAGAGAGCTCCAGAGGTAAACAGATGTCGATATCCTACCACCCACCCCTAGACTCAGCTTCCCATCTCCACCAGCAGACCTGCCCACGGGCTCAAAGCAGCTCCAGCCAGCTCTCCCTGTGCCCTTGCCTGTTGGACCTTATTTCTCTCCACTCTCCCTTATCAGGACAGTCAGGCAACCTCCTCCTAGTTCCTTAAACACAGCAGCCACTCCAGGGCCTTTGCACATGCTGCTCCTCCAGCCTGCAGAAGTGCTGCTTTCGATCCATGTGGCTCATTCCCCATCTCTTCATGTCTTGGCTCAAATACCACCCCATGTAGCCTTCCCTGGCCATCTATTTAAAACTGCAATCTTCCCCTCAGCCCTCCTCCTTCTGTTTTTTCCTTCAAGTTACTTTCTCATGTGTTTTAACAACTCCTCACACTGAAGTGTCAGCCATAAGTCAGTGGCTGCTGCAGAGCCTGACACGTATCATCAAGTGCATGAGTGGCTGGCTGAGTCACAGTGACCTTCATGGTCAATAGATAATAAGAAACCAGTACTTGGTCTTTGTTCCTGGTCTGGACACAGCTTTCAAAACCCTTGGAATTTCCTGAGTGATGGGGATGAGATGAGCATCTTTCCATTATTCACGATAAGCCCCCTTTTCAAGTATACCTGAGTTTATGTGAATGAGTGGACTCTTATCGGTAGGTCCCCAGTGGCTTCAGGATGGATGCTAGTTGTCAGAGGAGCCAACCATGTGATAGACGGTTGGAACTTTCAGCCCCACTCTCCAACCTCCAGGGAGGGTAGGGGGTTGGGGATTGAGTTCAACCAGCAGCCAAAGATTTAATTAATTAACGTCTGTGTAGGGAAGCTTCCCAGAACCCTAAATGATGGATTCAATGAGCCTCCTGGGTAGTGAACACATGGAGGGCCTGGGAAGTGGAGATCTTAGAGAGCGTGTGGAGGCTCTCTCTCTGCATCTCTTCCATTTGGCTGTTCCAGAGTTGTATCTTTTATAATAAAATAGTGATAGTAAATAAAGTGCCTTCCTGAGTTCTGAAAGCTATTCGGGCAAATTATTTAGGGGAGGGGGCTTGTGGGAACCCCCAGTTGGTAGTCAGCTGGTCAGAAATATAGGAGCCCTAGGACTTGCTATTGCATCTGAAGTGGAGGGTGGGTGGGGGGAGCCTTGTGGGACTGAGCCCTTAACCTCTGTGGTCTGCATTAACTCCAAAGACAGTCTGAATAGAATTATTCATGGATGGAGAATTGGCTGGTGTGGGGAAATTGGCTGGTGTGCCTTTGGTGCCAGAAATGTGAGTAGAAATAGCTCTGTCACCAAAGGCAAACTTCTTGCCCATGTGTCCAGCGTGGAAACAGTATTTCAATGTTTCTATTAGCACAAACTAAAGGAGCGCAGGGCAACAAAGACCACCCATGTGGGGCGAGAAGGCCCAGGCTGGTGGGACAGCACACCCACTGTCACAGGCCAGGGGCTACACAGCCCAGAGCAGCCTCTCCTGTGCTCACCATGCAGCCTAAGGTGATGCGTGACTCCAATGGAGAAGAAGCTGTTTTTCCCTCAATTCAGAGATGTGCTCACTTCGCCCCTGGGCCAACAGCCCCAACTTAGCCATTTGTCTTGGAGTAGGAGAATGCTCAGGTCCTTCCTCACTGGAGGCTTGTTAGGAAATGCAGTCTTTTGGAAGAAAGCACGTGGCAACAGACAAGGGAGCCTTGTGCAGAGAGAGCCTGTACCAGCCGTTCCCAGTGTGTTCTGGCAAGGGCCCCCTGCAGCCCTGACGGTTCACAGAGCTACTTCCATTTCCTGGACAAGTAAGGGCTTGTCTGTGAATGAGGTCTGGCAACAGCCTCCCTGCTTCTCAGAGGTATTTGGAAGGTATGGGAGAGAGAGGGCAGGCTGCCGTTCTTAACCCTTACACACCACTTACAAATGAGAACTCCACCGTACCTGCCTTCTGTCCTGAAATTCTGTATGTTACTTCAGCATGTTCCCACTCTCCTGTGAAACCTGGAGACAAACAAGGGCTGACCAACTCCTTTCCATCCTCAGCTGAAATAAACAGATAAAGAAGAAGAAAGGCACATTACCACAGGAAGACTGGGATGTGGATTCTGCTGAGGGGAGGCCTGTATGCTAGTGAAGGGGAGGTTTTTACTTCTCCCTTAACTACCTAAAAGAATTTAAGTAGGGGGTCTGGCCCAGAAAGAGAGGTATTACCAGAGATAAGTTTTTATCTAAATGACCACTGTATGGAAGGGCAAACATCTAATGACCAAACATCTGTTCTTTTGTCCTGTGAATCACCCTCCTCCCCTTTATTTTTTTTTTTAAAGATTTTATTTATTTATTTGACAGAGAGAGACACAGCGACAGAGGGAACACAAGTGAGGGAGAGGGAGAAAGAGGCTTCCTGCTGAGCAGGGAGCTCGATGCAGGGCTCGATCCCAGGACCCCGGGATCATGACCTGAGCCGAAGGCAGATGCTTAACGACTGACCACCCAGGCGCCCCCACCCTCCTCCCCTTTAAAGCCCCCAGGCCCCTTAGCTCAAGATGACACATAGCCTCAATTGCCCAACTTGTCCTTGGGTGTCATTTTCTTCCCATACGTATGTAAACTTGCTTTTCTATTAATCTGCCTTATGTCAATTTAATAGACTAAAGAATCTAGAAGGTCAGGAGAAAAACCTTTCCTCCCCAGTGGTTGGTGAGCCAGCCAGGAGAAAGTTCACCGGCTGCACACTGTGTGTTGCGGGGCTGCAGCAGCTGTGAGAGCCTGGGACGTCCGACAGGTGCGGCAGAACTAAGAATTCTTTTTTTTTTTTTAAGACTTTTTAAAAAATTTTATTTATTTATTTTTTTTACTTATTTGTCAGAGAGAGAGACAGAACACAAGCAGGGGGAGAGGCAGGCAGAGGGAGAAGCAGGCTCCCCACCAAGCAAGGAGCCCGATGTGGGACTCGATCCCAGGACCCTGGGATCATGACCTGAGCCGAAGGCAGCAGCTTAACCGACTGAGCCACCCAGGCGCCCCCAGAACTAAGAATTCTTACCCCATCACACTCCTGGATCCCTGCCTGCAGGGTCCAGTGGAAGCAAGTGGTGAGAAGCTTCCCCCCAGCCCCACCCTTCCAAATTTAGATTAGCTGGAGAAAATATTTGTGGAACCAGTTCCTTGGGTATAGTGACTGGTAAAGATTTATTATGAGTATTCTTGACTTTTTTATTCATGCGTTTCATCCCAGAGATAGTCACTGCTTTTTATGTTTCTTGTCTGTTGTGTCATTTGTCATAAGAATGAAAACCACAGGGTAGAATGCAGGCCTAGTCCCTAAAAGCCTGCTGTTCAAGCTGGACTCACAGACTGGTGAGTTCACAGTTCTCACCAGGCCAGTGTCTGTTTAGACAAATGTTGCTTTGGGTCAATGTGCACATGAGGTGAAGGCAATTACTAGGGGACATCTTGGAAGCCAAAGCCGCAAAACTGGTGGGCATGGGTTGAGAACTTAAAAGCTTTTAAGCACTCCCTACCTAACCCAAAGACTCCTATGTTAGGATGAGTTAGTCCCACTACAGGCCAGGCTGACATTAGGTCACCCGTCAAACTCAAGAAAATTTCCATACAAGGAACTCTGTAAAACCTCGCAATCTCCAACCCAGCAGCACATCCCTCTTTGGTACAGTTTGGCTCTGAGACACCAAAGGCTCAGCCAAGCTGTTAATGTGCCTAGGAGGGGTTTTCCTTTCGTCCTGTTCATGTCTTGAGAGGTTGTCTTTATGACCAGTGAGAATGTTCTCTCTGCACATACCACATGCACCTCGGTAGCCTGGGGTTCTGAGACTTTAAGTCACAAGCAGCACTTCCTGTCCGACTGTGCCAGCCTTCAGGAGAGTTTGTTACAGGGGTCCTGGTCCATAAGGTTTCTGTCATCTCACCTTCACTGTTTTGTTAGTGCTGGAAAAGTCCCATTCTAGTAGTGCCTGCCTGGTGTCACAGATTCGCAGGTCTGTGACTAGAGGTGCCTCATGTTCTCACAGGAAACCGGAGACAGTGTTTTCACTACACCATTCTTATTGCCCACAGCAACAGGGCTTTACTGTCTTAAACTATTTCGGGAAGTAAACTTTCTGGATCTTATAAGGGCTACATCTTTTGCACCCTCTTTTGGGATACCTCTTGTATTCATGGTTAAGCCATAAAAAGGCTTATTAAGGTTTGTGTCATACTGAGATTAATATAAGATCCTGCTCACCAATGGCCCGACAATGGATCTTTTGAATTGACAATATTTGAGAGCTCTCCTCCTAAATAATTGTCTTATTGATACCTATGTTTGAAAAGCCAAGTTAAAAAAAAATAGACACAAAGAGATGTAACAGCTAAGCTTTAGGGACTCCCTTAATAAGATGGGGGGGGGAGAGAAATTAGACTTAGAACAAAAATTAAAGTCCCCATCCAACATAAATTTCCCTCATTAAAATCTGGCCCTGTCTCCTCAGCAAATTCTCTTAACTCTCAGACTCCTCCACCTTCCCCAGAAAATCCCTTAAACACCCAGCTGCTTATTTTAGCTTCCCTTTTCCTTAAGATTTACAGAGAGCATTCTGGCCTGATCTCTAAGCCTAGGGTATACAGGTTACTCATGTAAATACTAAAAGCCAGAGAGAATTTAACAGAAGCACCCAAGGTAGATAATAAGGTTCATACAGAAGGCTCGTTTTGCAGGACTATATAATCAGGCTCTGCCAGCTTCAGGCCTTCCTGTGCAATGTCCTTTGCAGCTATATCCTAGGCCCCCACCCAAATAATTCATGTCCCCTAGACAACAGCATATTTTTAAAATTATAAAGCCCTTAAAATAGACTTTTAGAGGATCCTACCAAATTAAAGTTTAAGTTGAATTAAACAGATTGATGTCCATCACAACCCCACTCATAGGGACTTTGGCTGCTAAGGGGTGTTCTTCCCACCCATGATTATGATTATATTGTAGTTATCAGACAAGCCAGATGGCCCCCTGGAACCAATACTCCCCCCGACCAGGAAACAGATGACTAGCATTTCTCCTAGGCCTTCCTACAAATGATCAGCTGAAGGCTCATGTTAGGGGCTGACAGAGAGGTTTTTCTTCCTAAGGTAAAGGTTTAAGGTTGAAATGTGCACTCAGAAAGGAGGCCTTTGTTAAAATGCTTTATGTAGACTTTATAAAGGCATACTCCATTAATCCCAGAAAACACCTGCTGTTTGTCCCGACTGAAAAATGACAAGATATTTAAGATTTTTTTAAACAGCTCTGTGGTTGGAGACTGGCCAGCCTGGAAGCTGATATTCAGAGCCTGATAGGATTTTTTAGGTCTCTTCCCCTAAGCTAAAATGAAACTATGTACCCAGAGGGAAAGAAAAACCTTCTGAAGCCTCTGTAAAAGGATTTACTAAAACATTCCAAAGCTCCCTGATATAAAAAACACATTGAAGATAATGTGGTTGGATGGGTGGATCAAACTATGATGACATTTAGGTTGCAACCCTATTCTTTTAAGGAATTGAGAGCAACTGTGCTCATCTTACAAATCTTTGCAAAACTAAAAATGCAGCTCTAGAGGCAGCTCAGAGTTCACCTGTTCCAATCCCCTCTCCCTAATTTATCTTAAAAGATCTGTAATGGGCATTTTTTCCTTGTGATTTAAAAGTTAAGGTACAAAATTCAAAATTCAGGGAGGTAATTCTTATCAGAAGAAAAACAAAAGAGGGAATTGTCACTTGGAACTTGGGCTCACAGGAAATTTTAAGTGTATGGAAGCTGTAAGGTCTCAGTTTGCATCTGTCTGTATGTTTATGTATTCTATATATATAAGAAGTTGGGTATAATCTTCTATGTCAACAAAATTAATTTGTAAGAAAGCTCTACTTAATTGATTTAAAGAAATTAAGTGCTCATATAAATTGAATTCTCAGGAATATAATAGAAACTAGGGACCCCTGGCAGGCGCAGTTGGTGGAGCCTGTGACTTTTGATCTTGGGGTCGTGGGTTCGAGTCCTACACTGGGCATAGAGTTTACTTAAAAAAAAAAATTATGAAAGAAAATCTTTTAAAAAAAGAAAACTAACCCAAATGTTTTTCAAGTTCATGTGATTTAGTATTAACTTTTAGTAAATAAAAACTAGTTTGTTTGTTGATTAAGATAGGCATGTCCTCAGAAGTTATCAGTATGAAATATAATACTTTTATTCTACCTTGGTTTACTAAAGGTCACGCTATCTCTTACAAAAATCTGTCAGCAAGAAACATAGCTTGGGATGATGGCTGACTTTGTCTAGTGTCTCATGAAGCAGTTTAAACACAGTTGTTAACTTGTTAAGAACAAGAAAATTAAATAGGTATAAGTAGTATAAAAGGTTTTTAGGTGAACTTTTTAGCAATAAACTATGTTTTATGGTATGTGTACTTAAAAATGGTTTTCCCAAATCTTTCAGGTAAGCTGAAGCTTTAAACTTTTGCTAAATGATGAATTAAATTAAATTCACTGAATATCCAGACCATTTCTAAATAAGATAAAACACCGAACATAGTTTTATATACTTTTAACTGCTGAACAAAGATTTAGACACTATTACTTCCTTTTACAGAAGAACTAAAAGGCATTTGGGTCATGAGTAAGCATATGTCTTTAGAAATTATTGAATGCATTTATAAGTTTGCCATTTTAAACAATGCTGGTGTGACACAGTTCACTACTGCTTATTTCTTAGTCAAGGGTTCTAAGGGTTAATTCTAATTAATATATGTAACTAAAATTACTAGAAATAATATAAGAGAAGCAACTCTGTATGCAAGGAAAGATGTGTTTTCAGTAAGAAGAGGTATGAGGTATGAAGAGGCATTTTTGTTAAGGGAAAATAAGGGAAAGTAAATTTGTCCCAAGTAAAACTGGTTATTTCCAGATGGGAAAGAGGAAAATAAAGACAGATTAAATGGAAAGCTACAAAGACAGAGAAAATCTTACCTTGTGTGGTTAAGTTGGCTAGAACTGAATGAATTTATTTTAATGGTTGTAAAATGAAGCTTTAAAATCAGGAGTGTAGTTTTATGAAACCAAAATTGAATGTTCTTTCACCTGAAAGGACAGTTTTCTGGGACTACTGGCCTGCTCCTGATAAGACTGTGAAAGGCTTTTTGTCACCTTCTAAGTAACCAGTCTTCAAAAAGCAGATTATGTTTTATCAAAATAATTTTCCATGTTTTATCAGGTCTTTGATCAGTTTTGCTCACAACTATGTAACATTCTGTATTTGCCCTTAAATCCTTTGTCACTTTGGTTGAACAGGTAAGTAATGCTTCGTTATGATCTGTGATCCTATTTAGTCAAGTGTCCAAATCTTGTGATATTTTTGACAAATTTCCAACATCATATTCTAAATGAAGTCTTTTATGGCCTTAAACTCAGTTTGAGATTTTTTTTTTTTTTTAAAGATTTTATTTATTTATTTGAGACAGAGAGAATGAGAGACAGAGAGCACATGAGAGGGGGGAGGGTCAGAGGGAGAAGCAGGCTCCCTGCCAAGCAGGGAACCCGATGCGGGACTCGATCCCGGGACTCCAGAATCATGACCTGAGCCGAAGGCAGTCGCTTAACCAACTGAGCCACCCAGGTGCCCAGTGTGAGATTTTTTAAGAGGGCCCCTAGAACATCTCAAAAAATATGTGCTCTCTCTTTACAAAAAGAGATGAGTTTATCTGATATGTTAAATTACCTGGTAAGCATGTCAAATAAGTGATGATAAGCCTTCTTAGGTTATACTATATAGGTAAATCTTACTAACATAAGTATTATAAAAATTGTATGAAATTCCTAAAATTCTGATACGCCCTGGTATAATGTTATCAGTCATAATTCTAGCTATTACCTTAAAATATTGCATACCACAGAAATAACCAGACTTGTCAATTCTGCTACAATGAACTCTCATCAGATCTTTAACAATGGGCATCTTAAGTCTTTTGTCACTTACAGTTACTGTATCACTCTAATGCTTTGTAAAGTGTTCCTGCAAAAGCACTTCCCTTCAAGGAGATTCAAGAAAAGGACTTTTGACAAGTGGACTTGTCAAAAACTTGTCAGAAACCTCCAGGTTTCTGATAACCTTAAAGACCATAAAACTGGGCTGGGTAAGATTTTCCAGAACTAAAGGGAAAACTAGGTTTAAGGGGAACAACTATTAATTATATGGAACTGAATAAACAGAGGAGGATTATAATGTTTATGAGTTTTTGTTTGAAACACTGCCTGTTGTTTTATGTTTCATTTTTCCAGATTTAAGGAAACCTTTTACTCGTTTCTCCTAAGCTACCAACAATTTGGTAAGATATACCTTTGTGAACAAATATGAAACAATTACTTTTTCTCTCTACCTTATCCTTCCACAATTTGGCAACAGAATATTCTTATTTTCATGGCAATATAGTTATGTGCACCTCTTCTCCTTGTGTCTCCAGGACACAACCACAAACACTGGTTACATTACCAAGGCTTTGACTGGAATGTCCTATTTGAGAAGGATGTGTGTAAATTCAGATACAGCCAGACAGCTTTATGGAACTAAGGGTAACCACTCAGAAAGATCATCAAAGACATTGAAACTGCAACAGGAAAACCTATCAGTTTGCCGCTGCCTGCCCTCACTCTGTCTGAAGGTGCTTCAAGCCCGACATCTAGAAATCTTGTCAACTGGCTTGCCTTCAGAATGCAGAAACTGGGATTATAATCTGTTCCAATCATTAACCACTATTTTTTATTTCCACAGAAATGGCTTTTATTAAATACCTGATTTCTTGCACCACAGGCCTAACTTTGGGAGCCCGCCTGCATCACTGCCTCCTGAAATGAGACACAACTGTCTAACTGAACCCATTTTTTATCAGCACTAAGAGCCTGGTTCAGTGAGATGGAGCAATCTAGCAGCTTCACTTCTGGACTGTGAAACTTTCTAGGGAAGTTTCAAAGATAGGACTGAGAGGGAGTAAAATACATGACCCCAAAATATGCCACTTTGGCATGTGGACTATTTTGAGCTAAAGACAATCTAGACCTAGCAGATTCAGGAAAAACTTTTACCTTTCTCTTAACTATCTAAAAGAATTTAGATAGGGGATCTGGCCCAGAAAGAGAGCTGTTAACAGAGATAAGTTTTTAAGAATGACTTTTGTATGCAAGGGCAAACATCTAATGACCAAACATCTGCTCTTCTTACTGTCCTGTGAATCACCCTCCTCCCCTTTAAAGCCCCAGTCCCCTATCCTATTCCTTAGTTGAGGATGGCACATAAGCCTCAATTGCCTGACCTGTCCTTGGGTGTCATATTCTTATGGGGCTCCTGTACATACATAATTAAATTTGTTTTTCTCCTATTAATTTGTCTCATGTGAATTTAATTAATAGGCCAAAAGAATCTTGAAAGGTAGAAGAAAAATTTTTCCTCCCCAATACTAGTAATGAGGCAAAGGAACACTCTTCCTTTCTGCCAGATGAAACCCAACCTGTGGAAGCATTCCAGGTCAACTAGGGGAGGCAAGCCTTTCTCTATCACAGAAGCCACCACAAAGCCTCATCAGTTTTAGAAACATAGTCTTTCCTAGCTTACACGCACTGAGGGGCTTCAGGGTTCCAGGCATCGGGCCAAGTGTTGTTCAGTCAACTGTCACAACCACCCTAATAGAAGGGGAGCCAACACTACCCAATTTTATAGATGAATGAGGTTGCAAGTAACCTGGCAGGGCCAGGACGATGCCACCATGCCATGTATCTGTGCTGCCCCACAGCACAAAATCTGGGGCCCCACAAATAACAAAGGAAGTGTGGTGATTGGCCTCCAAGGCTGGCCCCATGATGCCACCCCTCAAGGATGTGCATGCTGAAAAGTGAATCCCTATGTCGGCCCTTGATTCTTGCCTGGGCCTGCTTTCACCAGCAGAATGCGCAGGATATGACAGCATGTGACTTCAGGGCAGTCTCCCTTCCTGAGCTGCCAGAGAGAAGTGCAGGCTGCTCTGCTGGGGAGGCCACATGGGGGAGCACTGAGGTGTAAGACATACACCCAGCCACCCCAGCTGTCACCACACAAGCCCCAGGGATCCCAGGAGAGGCACTGCCCAGCTCAAGCCTATGCAATCATGAGATATCTGCTCGTTTTGACCACTCTGTTTAGTGTGTACTTGTGCAACAACAGATAACACAATAGGGAGATGTTTCCTCTGGGGCAAGGAGCTGTCCATACCCTTCTTGGCAGGTATTACAGCTCTATGTGTCCCAAGTAGGTACTTTATGTAGCTGATGGGTTTAAGGCTAGCCATGGACAGGCAAATGGGTAACTGCCTTCTTCCTGCTGGCTAAATAGGTGTTTTCTGGCCACACAGTGAAAACTGCTAGTGTTTCTGAGACATGGAAATGTTTTTGGTTTGCAACGGAGGAATACCATAATGAGGTTAAACACCAGGATTTGAAATAAGATGTACGTGAAAAACAAAAATTCCAGTTAGAACAACTAGGCCCTTGAAAGAAGTGCAGAGAAGTGCTAGGCCTGTGGAGAGGAGCAGGTGTGGGGCAAGGAGAGGCAGGGCTGAGGGAAGGGCATGTGGCTGGAGGGTATGTGTGGGCTCGCACGCACACATCTGGACCAGAGGCATGGGTCAAGGCCTTTGGGCCCTAATTGATGTCATCAGGAAAGACAGGCCAATGCCAGCCTCAGAGTAGTGTTCCCCTACTCCCAAATTGGGACATAATGATCCCCTAAGACCTCCTCTAAGAGCTCATGTACCCTGGTGGCCAGCACCAGGCTTCTCCTCAGCCAGGCCAGTCAGGAAAGATCAGAGAAGGCCTGGGAAGAAACATCCTCACCTGGCCATCTCCGGTTCAATGCTGTGTCTGTAGGAGGGGCCAAGTTCATGTTTAATGATCCTTCACAGAGCAAGAGAAGATGGAGGGACATCCTTATAACACTAGAATCACTGTGAATGAGGGAAAAACTTTCCCCAGCTTCCCAGTAGCAGCCCCAGAATCACCTCCTCATGGCTTCTCCTGTACCATCATGAAGAATAAGATTCCTTTCTGATGCTTAAAAACCAGTCCACTCCAAACGCAGGTGATGACTAAACACAGTTACTTGGTGGCTAAAATCCCACAGCTCAGTGTTTGAGAAATGACTTCTCTAGCATCTCTTCCTTTAAAAAAATAACTTAGCATGTACACAGGTAAAACACATTACTATTTGTCACCATCATAGTGCCCACCAACATAGTGCACACCGACGTGTGCACTCTTCCCCACACGTCCCTCCTAGGCTCCTCTAGTCCTGAGGACCAGGGCCCAGTGGGCTGCTGTGACAGTGGAGGGCAGAAGCACCTTTCCTGAAAGGCTCCTCAAGCCTGCTGAGCAAGGAGGGCTCTGAACTCTCATTCCACTCACCAGGTTTCCCCTCCATGCCACCCAGAATCGCCAGCCGTGCCGACATCAAACCGAGCCCCAGGTAGCTGTGGAAAGAAAATCCTGGGTGAGGGGCTGGCCTGCCACAGGAAGCGCTGGGTAACATCTTCAATCCTGCCTCCAGTACGTTCACCTGGCCTGAACCCAAAACAAGTGGGAAAGGGAGGAAACCTGTGGCGAGGCAGTAGACTTTCTGCTTCTAGAAGCCTCTCTATGGAGGTTAGGGCATCCAGTTCAACAAATGAAAGCCTATTACCTAACAGGAGCTTGCCTAGGAGCTGTGGATGCCAGTGAACGACACAGATGTGCCCTGATCTTTATGGAGTATATATGCTTTACACCAAGAATTGACTGAAGGTGCCATGTGGTAAATAGATGGCCAAGAAAATTCCTGCACAATCCATGGGCTCTTCTCCACCTTTTAGAAACCTCCTCCAAAGCAGAACAAAATAAGCACAAAAAAAGGGAATGTGATTTTACTGTAGGTGAATTGAAAAATGAAGTGGGGAGAAGGCAGGAGGAGGAAGGAACAGCAAGGGAGGAGGAAGTGTTAGAGGGAGAGCCCCCAGCAGGGGGGTTTCCGGGTGCTCTGGTCACTGCACAGGGCTGGCTGAGCCACACTCCTGGATGGGCAGCCTCTCCACCCCCACTCCCAAAACAAACCTGTAAGAATAGAGCTTGTAGGTCCGATTAAACATCTGGAGTGACGTCAGGTAGCCAGGCGGGGAGGTCTGGAGGGTATCCTGTGGAAGAACATGAGGAATGCTATCCTTCCTGCTGGTCTTTCTTTTGAAAAAGACCAGGGTACTCACAGATGTATTCAATTAAATTAGTTTTTCATTAAGTCACATGTTTCAAAAGAGTTTGAACAAGCAATGAAAAATAAAATGTCCAAAATGAAAAAATGTTTTTCCTCCTTATAACTAACATTTACCATTCTGACAAATATGGCCCAACCAAGACAATTATGAGTAAATTTAAGTGCTTTTCCATTGTAAATTAAAAATAAAAACAATAAAACAGTGGTGGGTGAGGAAGGCACTGTGGCTAAAGCAGCAGACAGTCTAGATTGGAAGCATTTTCATCTCCTTTATAACGTCCCATCACACAGGGCTTGAGGCTCTCTCCCCATCTGGAGTCAGACTAAGTAATGGCCCCGTCTCTGGCTTGTCCTGGGGGAAAAGGGAACATCTCACATCCTATGGCCCTGAGGGTTCCAGGTAGTTTCTAATTTATCATCCCACTGAAGATCACATTTCCATTTTCTCCCCTAGGCAGAATAAAATCAAGTGAAGAAGAATTGACTGTGAATGAATCTGGCTGTGAGGATAGGAACTAACTGCACAGGCCCAGAGACACCAGGTCAACAGGCCTTCCCCCAGGGGCTGCAACTCCTGGGGGCAGGTGGCCTTTGGATGGTGGGGGCCACAATGGGGTGGCAAAGGCCGGTTACCTCAAGTCTTGGAAGGAAGGTGATCTGAGTGGATCCTCCGCCCAAATCCAGCATGCCCACACTGCTCCTTCCTGGGGTTTTCAAACTGCCTGGGGCACAGTGAGTACAAACCAACACATACTGTCACATTAGTAAATAGATGAGAACAGCCGAAAAAGTAAAGGAAGTTTAGGAGTCAAGCCCCTTAGTGGAAAGAAAAACAGAGAAACAGCTGTGAGTATTTAACAATCTCCATGGAAGGATGCACATGTTCAAGGGGCATGAATGCAGCTCTGCCAGCTGTGGCTTTAACAATATAAGACAACACCGACCTTCAGCAGAGAAGCCGGGCCTGCCCTATCTACTGCTCACCCCCGGAGACAATGACTTCTATCCTGTCCCTTCATGCCCAGAGGCACGCCTTCCCCCAGCACTGGGCTCCTAATGTGTCCCTTAACATGGCTCTCCATTCCCAAGGGGCAAATTCTGCCACAAAGCCTCTTTTTCATATATGCATTTCACACACACTGGTTTTGCCATAATTACAATAAAGGGACAAAAATCAACCTGTACTGAGAATAATCTAAGAAAAATGACTCCTTGCCATCTTGTTCTAAGAACAGATGTTTCTGTTCTCTGTTCTATCTACAGCAGAGGAATTCAATTCTAAGGCGAAGGGCATTCCCACCACATTTAATAACTGAAAGCATGACTGGTTTTATTCATCACTTCCCTTAGAAATGAGAGGACAGGGCCCCTGGCTAATGTGGCTGCAGTCGAGAAGGGGCAGGAGCTATGCTGGAGAAAACCAGGCCTACAGAGAAGCTCCTTTCCCTAGCATTTTCATCTGCAAGCTTGATGCCCACTCTGAGGAGCCCCCACCCAACCCAATGATCTACTTTGAACCAGCACCACTGGAGAAACCCAAGGGGTCATTTTAAAGAGTAGAAATGAGACCTCTGCCATCAAGAATGGCATCTGTGGACTGTCAGCTTCAGGGAGAGGGAAGAATGTACCTGTTAGGAAGTTGACAGTGATCCACGCTGAAACGCCTACAAGAGAGGGTCACAGACGGCACGTGAATCACCTGAGATGCTGTAAACAACACACGCACTCAAATGACCACTTTGAGATTCCAGGAGCAGAAGTGAGCGCCCCTCACTTCTCAGCCTCCAGATCAGCTACAGGAAGAGGCATCAGTCATCAAGTCACCCAGCAGCTTCTGGCAGACTGTTCCAGAAGATGCCATATTAAAACACTATAATACTCTGCCAAATGTCACATCTCTCCCTCCTATTCTATATCATGAACTTCCTCTTTTTGGAAAGAGAACCAAATGTTGCTCTCCCCTCCCCTGGTCATATTTTAAAATCAGGGGCTGGTGAAGAACCTGACGGTCTCTCTCTCTCAGCATCAACAATGCAATAGCAAACTTCTAAATATGGTAGCAATTGGGGATTCTCTCTAAATGTTCTTAAAGCTGAAAAGATGATTTGTTTTCAGAAACTTTATCTGTGCCAGGTTTAGAGCTAGTCGAGATGTGAATCTGTCTCTAATACTGGCCCCCCAAAGATCCTCTGAGACAGTTACACTGTGAACGGAATGAGACCATCACTTTAGTTCTTGCCTGCCCACGTCTGACTGAGAACGCTCCCACTTGGAATGCCAATAGCAGCCCTAAACACAGCCTTGTCTCCCAGGACAGTCTTGTCGCACAGCAAGCTTCTGGAGACCCTACCTTCATCTGTTCCGTTCATGATGGAAACACAGTCATCTCCTACAAGGAAGGGCGATGCCTTAAACACTTCTTTCACCTAAATGTAAAGGGAGACAAGTCTTTATCCTTTACAATCTAAACTCAAAGTTCCCAATTACACTGTGCTTTCAGCAGATCATGACAAAACAGCAGAGGGTGTCAGCTGGTGCTGTGAAGAAACAAAGCTCATGTTTTGTTTTAAATTTCTCGAATCCTCTGCAAGTGATATCCTTATCTACTGCCTGGGCTGGCGAAGGCAGATGCTACCCTGAAGAGTCCTGTCTTAAAGCCACTCTGGGCTGGAAGAGCTCAGGGGTCCCCCTGAGCCTGCTGGGCCCCCAAACACTGCCCTGCTTTAGACTGGAGATGAGACACTGGAAGCCCCTCAAGGCAGAGCTCAGCCTGGGACCCAGGAGTTAGCTCCACAGCCGGGAGGCGAAGACAGTGAGCAGCAGCATTTGGGGGCACTTCCCTCCCCATTTTTTAGCAAGTACTGACACACAGAAACGTCAGTCCATCTGCACATTCCAACTGCACTGGTGGCCCACAATCAGACTCGAGCATGTAAAGGTAACTTTTACAAGGGACCCTGACCAATGTGCAACAATTCATCATTTAGTGGCCGCACAGTTTAGAAACAGTACAGAGGATGAAGGGGACCATGGTGGTGAAAGCAGTTTCCCTAATGTGCCTGAAATAACCATCCAGGCACCTGTAAGAAACAGGGTTCCAAAGTCTTTCTGCAGGGCTGCCACTAGGCCTGGGAGGGCAATCCCGGCCATGTGAGAGCCAGACCCTGGCAGGGGAAGGCTAAAGGACGCTTTAGCAGTTACATCTGTGGATCAGATCAAGAGAAGAACTGGCAGTTTCCGTGAGAACACGCAGGCTGGAGATGAAGTGTCAGGAACTCAGGCTTCTACAACCCTCTACAAGGATCTAGTCTCTGCACGGAAGGAAGCCCTTCAAAAGGCTTTCAACGTATTCTTTTTTTTCCTTTTTTTTCCTTTTAATTCCCTCGTCTTCAATTTTATGAAGCAGTTTGCTAAGAATTGGTATTATTTTTTTTCTTTTTAAAAAAGATTTTATTCATTTATTTGACAGAGAGAGAGACAGTGACAGAGGGAACACAAGTGGGGGGGGGTGGGAGAGGGGGAAGCAGGGAGCCCGATGTGGGGCTTGATCCCAGGACCCTGGGATCATGACCTGAGCCGAAGGCAGACGCCTAACGACTGAGCCACCCAGGTGCCCCAGGCTTCAACGTATTCCTAAAACAGTTGGCATTATTACACAATACAGGTTCATTCTAGAAAACAGGAAAGGCTAAAGGTGATGCTGTTAACATTTTGATGTGTTTTCCTCTTCAGGAAGTTTCTACATAGCCCATTCGACTGCTCAGACACTGGCTGAATATTTTGTGTTTTCAGTTATCATAAGCTATCCACCCCCCAGGGGGAAATGGGTAAGATCACCTTTTGCAGTAACTTTTGAGCCTTTTCTCCTGGTAACAGACGTAAACCAGCTGTGGCCTTGAGCACCAAGGGGGTGGCCTTCCAGAAGTCAAAAGGAACGTCTTGTTTAGCAACATCCAGTAATTCCTGAATTCCTGAAGTGCTCTGTGAACGTGGTAAAAGCAGGGTCTGTCAAAGCTCAGCATACAGGGTCACAGATGCTCCCCCAACCCTTTTGGTTTTATTGACTTATAAACACATTTTCTTCTAACTTTCCAAATCGGCAGAAAACGATTTAAGTGGTGCTAGTGAATGTGAGGGACCAGGGACCAGGCGAGTACAGAGCAACACCCCTAGCAGTGGAGCATGGTGGGGAGAAGATACACAAGGGGGGTCCTGCAGATCTACACTCTGGCAACCAAAACCCTGCTCAGCCCCGTCACCAACCCTCACCGGGTGACCTCAGATGAGCTGTGATTCCCCTGGACATCATGAATGAATTCTGAGATTCCTCACAGTGCTGAAAACCTCGGAGGAATCATTTATGCCTGCCAGAATGCTTGAAATCCAAAAGTTGGCTAAGGCCCTGTGTCAGGGCAGAGCTGGGATAACAATTTTAGTAAAGCACTGCTGGGTATTACCAACAGCTACAATGCTGCGGGAACTATTTGGCAATGTCTGCCCAGTGAGAAAACGTACCTTCCTTTTACTCAGAAATCTCATTCTAAGAATTCATCTGAGATGGATGCCCTTGCATCTGTGGGTAATGAAGTTCAGTGAGGTGACAAACTGTAGCCTTTCTTAGACATTATTTGAACGTCCTTCAGGAGGGGACTGGTTCCATAAATTCAAAGTGCCTGTACACACTGCAGTATCATTGCCATAAAAATCAAGGAAGCTCTTCACATCCTGATAGTAAATAATCTCTGTTATATTGTTGAGTGACGAAAGTGAAGTACGTAACGACATGAATGCCATTCTATTGTGCACGTGAAATAAAAAGGGGAGGGGAAGAATATAGATGAATTTGCTCATAGGTATGTCAACTAGCCCTTGAAAGACACATAAGAAACCAGGGACACCACCCCTCCTAGGGGAGACTGGAGCAGGAGGGGAGTTCTCAGCATCTGCCCTGAGAAGCTGTGAAATATGTCCCACTTGAATGTGTACTGCCTACTAAAACAAGTACGGTTTAAAAAATCTTATGAGTTTATTTTAAAGCTATCTAATTTACTCATGTGTAACCTTATAGTTACTCTAATATCATTGATTTTGATTTTTGTTTTCAATTTTTTTTTAACCAAGCCACAGGAAAGCAGGGTTATGACTTCACTGTGTGAGATCAAGATGCACCTGTGGGCAAGAATGAAAAAATCTTTTTAAGATTTTATTTATTTAAGAGAGAGACAGAGAGAGCACAAGCAGAGGCAGAGGGAGAAGCAGACTCTGCACTGAGCAGGGAGCCTGATGCGGGGCTCAATCCCAGGACCCCAAGATCATGACCTGAGCTGAAGTCAGACGCTTAACTGACTGAGCCACCCAGGGGCCCCTATCTATTAGCTTTTATTTTTTTAAAGATTTTATTTATTTATTTGACAGAGAGATACACAGCGAGAGGGGAACACAAGCAGGGGGAGTGGGAGAGGGAGAAGCAGGCTTCCCACGGAGCAGGAAGACCAATGCAGGGCTCGATCCCAGGACTCTGAGATCATCACCTGAACCAAAGGCAGACGCTTAATGACTGAGCCACCCAGGCGCCCCTGTATTAGCTTTTAAAACATGCTTGAATCAAAAGGAACTTGTAGCTATGTTACTACCTTGTCCATTTCATCAGCGCCTTAGTGGAAATACAGGTGTCCTGTATTAGTGCAGCTGTAAGCTTTAAGGAGTTGAAAAGTATAGAAGCTACAAATTTACAAAAATCCTTATTTGACAGTTTAAGTAAATCACTTTCACACTTATTTAGTTTTGTGGATTTTGCATAATACATTTTTAACTTCAGTTTTTTTAGTCAACTTTTGTCATCTTCAGTCAGAGGAACTGAAACAAAAACAAACTCTCAAATACTGCTTTTTATCAGTTTGTAGCCTGTGTGCTTTTGATTTGCACCAAGACTTCTGGGTGGCACGCCTGGTGGTTGGGGGAAGGGCCTGGGAAGCTGGGGTGTAGGGAAAGGTGGGGCCTGGGGGTAGCGGTCCTCCTTTGGCCCCATGTGCTGTACCAGTTTCCCCCATCTGGCCACCCTAAAGAGCATGAAATGTCCCAGGGCAGCACCATCAGAGATGTTTTCCTCTGTGAATAAGGCCTATGCACTCAAGAGAAAGGGAGCTGGCTTTAACAAACTGCACGCTGGAAGACAAATTTGAAGAATAGACATGAGAGGAAAGCATTACCTTTTCAACATCATCAGCATAAGCAGAAAGACCTGGCTTCAGTGCTTTGAACGTCTCATGGGTCAAAGTGGGAGTTTCTAAAGGGAAATCATGTTTAAAAAACAAGAACAACTGTGAACATATACATGAATATATGAATATATACAATTATGGCTAGCCACACTTTTTAAAGGCAGATGTCTGAAATCAGACCAATCTCAGAGTGACTGGAACACTGCTTCTTTAGCCCAGATAAACAGGATGAGTGTTCTACCTAATGCTTTGGCCAGAACTTTTTTAAAAAACCCAACTTTACTGAGGTATGATTTACATACAAAACTATATCCATCTAAACTGCTAAATTTTAACATGGTTAATTCTTGTTACATTAACAGAGGAGCAGGGCAGATAATTCTAAACTGCAAATATAGAAGTTATTTCTCTATCATGGGATGGATGTAGTATAGGTTCTAAAGAACATTTTTTTCCCCTTCTTTTAAAAAAAACGGAGTGTCTTAAATTATAAAGGCCCTGGATTCATGTGCATACAGCAAGGGAGTGTTCAGAGGCACATGGTGGCTGAGGGATGCTGGCCCGAATTTGGACATGAAGACCCAAGAGGAAAAATCAGGGACAGAGCTTTTTTTTTTTTTTTAAAGATTTTATTTATTTATTTGACAGAGACACAGAGAGGGAACCCAAGCAGGGGGAGTGGTAGAGGGAGACACAGGCTTGTTCGGAGCAGGGAGCCCGACGCAAGGCTTGATCCCAGGACCCTGGGGTCATGACCTGAGCTGAAGGTAGACGCTTAACGACTGAGCCACCCAGGCGCTCCCACGGACAGAACTTTTTGAAAGGATGTCTCTTTGGAGATAAAACACTGGAATATGGCTATTAAAGGATTACATGCTGACAAGTTGTCTTAAAACTTAAAAGTTGTCCTAACATCCAAATCGGCAAAGAAGAAGTCAAACTTTCACTCTTTGCAGATGATATGATACTTTATGTGGAAAACCCAAAAGACTCCACCCCAAAACTGCAAGAACTCATTCAGGAATTCAGTCAAGTGGCAGGATATAAAATCAATGCACAGAAATCAGTGGCATTCCTATACACCAACAACAAGACAGAAGAAAGAAATTAAGGAGTCGATCCCGTTTACAATTGCACCTAAAACCTAAAATACCTAGGAATAAATTTAACCAAAGAGGCGAAGAATCTGTACTCAGAAAACTATAAAATACTCATGAAAGAAATTGAGGAAGACACAAAAAAATGGAAAAACATTCCATGCTCATGGATTGGAAGAACAAATATTGTGAAGATGTCAATGCTACCTAGAGCAATCTACACATTTTTTTTTGTTTTGTTTTTGTGTTTTTATTTTTAATTTTTATTTTTTTTATTTTATTCTTATGTTAATCCCCATACATTACATCATTAGTTTTAGATGAAGTGTTCCATGATTCACTGTTTGTGCACAACACCCAGTGCTCCATGCAGAATGTGCCCTCCTCAATACCCACCACCAGGCTAACCCATCCTCCCACCCCCCTCCCCTCTAGAACCCTCAGTTTGTTTTTCAGAGTCTATCGTCTCTCATGGTTCGTCTACACATTTAATGCAATCCCTATCAAAATACCGTCCACTTTCTTCAAAGAAATGGAACAAATAATCCTAAAATTTGTATGGAACCAGAAAAGATCCCGAATAGCCAGAGGAATATTGAAAAAGAAAAGCACAGCTGATGGCGTCACAATTCCGGACTTCAAGCTCTATTACAAAGCTGTCATCATCAAGACAGTATGGTACTGGCACAAAAACAGACACACTGATCAATGGAACAGAATAGAGAGCCCAGAAATGGACCCTCAACTCTATCATCAACTAATCTTCGACAAAGCAGGAAAGAATGTCCAATGGAAAAAAGACAGTCTCTTCAACAAATGGTGTTGGGAAAATTGGATAGCCACATGCAGAAGAATGAAACTGGACCATTTCCTTACACCACACACAAAAATAGACTCCAAATGGTTGAAAGACCTCAATGTGAGACAGGAGTCCATCAAAATCCTAAAGGAGAACACAGGCAGCAACCTCTTCGACCTCAGCCACAGCAACTTCTTCCTAGAAACATCGCCAAAGGCAAGGGAAGCAAGGGCAAAAATGAACTATTGGGACTTCATCAAGATAAAAAGCTTTTGCACAGCAAAAGAAAGAGTCAACAAAACCAAAAGACAACCGACAGAATGGGAGAAGATATTTGCAAATGACATATCAGATAAAGGGCTAGTATCCAAAATCTATAAAGAACTTATCAAACTCAACACCCAAAGAACAAAGAATCCAATCAAGAAATGGGCAGAAGACATGAACAGACATTTTTCCAGAGAAGACATCCAAATGGCCAACAGACACATGAAAAAGTGCTCAACATCGCTCGGCATCGGGGAAATCCAAATCAAAACCTCAATGAGATACCACCTCAGACCAGTCAGAATGGCTAAAATTAACAAGTCAGGAAACGACAGATGTTGGCTGGGATGTGGAGAAAGGGGAACCCTCCTACACTGTTGGTGGGAATGCAAACTGGTGCAGCCACTCTGGAAAACAGTATGGAGGTTCCTTGAAAAGTTGAAAATAGAGCTACCATACGACCCAGCAATTACACTACTGGGTATTTACCCCAAAGATACAAATGTAGGGATCCGAATGGGTACGTGCACTCCAATGTTTATAGCAGCAATGCCCACAATAGCCAAACTATGGAAAGAACCAAGATGTCCATCAACAGATGAATGGATAAAGAAGATGTGGTACATATATACAATGGAATATTATGCAGCCATCAAAAGGAATGAAATCTTGCCATTTGCAACGACGTGGATAGAGCTGGAAGGTATTATGCTGAGCGAAATAAGTCAATCAAAGAAAGACATGTATCATATGATCTCACTGATATGAGGAATTCTTAATCTCAGGAAATAAACTGAGGGTTGCTGGAGTGGTGGGGGCTGGGAAGGATGGGGTGGCTGGGTGATGGACATTGGGAAGGGTATGTACTATGGTGAGCGCTGTGAATTGTGTAAGACTGTTGAATCACAGACCTGTACCTCTGAAACAAATAATACATTATATGTTAAAAAAAAAAAAAAAGAAAAAGATAGCAGGAAGCGAAGAATGAAGGGGGGGGAAATTGGAGGGGGAGATGAACCATGAGAGACTATGGACTCTGAGAAACAAACTGAGGGTTCTAGAGGGGAGAGGGGTGGGGGGATGGGTTAGCCTGGTGATGGGTATTAAAGAGGGCACGTACTGAATGGAGCAGTGGGTGTTATATGCAAACAATGAATCATGGAACACTACATCAAAAACTAATGATGTAATGTATGGTGATTAACATAAAAAAAAAGTTGTCTTAAAACTTAAAACTCACTGGCTAGAAGCTGGAGAGTGACCCTCAGAGCTGGAGGGTACAAGAGGTGCCAGGGAAGGAGATCAAAGGGAGAAGGGATGAGTGCTGAGCTGGGCAGGGACTGGGTCTCCCCAGAGGAGCAGCTACAGGCAGAACACACACAAACTTCTTCCCTCTTGCCGGAAGCATGCAGGCCCCCACCCTGGGGTTATAATGGGGCTCAGGCTCCAGCTCCCTCCTCACTGCTGAGGCCACTCTTATCGTCACTCTGACTGGACCCACCGGGCAGCACCATGTCAGTCTAGGTCCTAGGTCCTTGCTAGTTCATAACTTTCCCAGACTGCCTCATACTAGCCTGCGTCAGGGGCAACTTCCTGCCTTAAACTCTCCCAATGCAGCTTCTGGCCTAAGTCACGATCCCAGCCATCTGACCTGCTGCTGAATGCTGGGAAAGGACAGGCTACCCAACACCCTCAGGGATCTCAGCTGCCCTCAGATGGTCACCAGAAACTACTGTGAGTAAGGACAGTCAGAGGCT